GAGGTCCTGGGGGTTCCCCGCAGGTAGCTCCTCACACACTCTATCTCCTGCTCTCCACACAGCACACAGCAGCTGGGGACGAGGGCGGTGGCCAGTCGCTGGTGTCGCCCGGTAGCTGCCTGGAGGACTTCCGTGCAACACCCTTCATCGAGTGCAACGGAGGCCGTGGAACCTGCCACTACTTCGCTAACAAGTACAGCTTTTGGCTGACCACAATCCCCGAGCAGAGCTTCCAGGGCACACCATCCGCCGACACACTCAAGGCCGGCCTCATCCGCACGCACATTAGCCGCTGCCAAGTGTGCATGAAGAACTTGTAGGCCGTCCACCCTGCCCGTCAGCAGCCGTGTGGGAAGGCCTCTCTGGTGCTCATTATCTTCTGTATTTGTTCCATTTTTGTTTGAGACAGTGTCTTACTCTTCATCCCTGCCTGGCCTGGAACTATGTAAACCCAGGCTGGCCCCCAACCTGTGGCAAACCTCCTGCCTCAGCTTCCCAAGTGCTGGGATTATAGGCTTGTGCCACCACACCCAGCTTGGTGCTTACTCTTAACTTATTACCTCAGAGGTTGACCCCAAAGTTGACCTTAGTATTTTCTTAAAAGAAAAAAAAAACCAAAAAACTACCAAAGCAACCCTGCACCCGCACTCACACGAAATGCCTGTCAGCAAGTGGGCACGGGTTCCTCCAGCTCTACCGCCCGTGGGTCTCAGTTAACACCTTGGAGCAGCCCATGGACCCTCGCCGTGTGGAACATGGACACCGTGCCACCAGGAGTAGCCAGCAGTGACTGTCTGTGCGTCCCTGTGGGTCCACCGTCTCCGGGCGGCTCCCCTCCTTCACTTTTGTCCTAGAATGAGGCAGACTCTGCAGGACAGCCAAGGGGACCGGCCAATGACGGCCAGCTGAGGCTCACTGCCCTCTCTTTCCAGCCAAGGATCCCTGCAATGCACTCTTGTCTAGTCCTGTTTCCTTGGAGGAGGGGATGGCAGTATCATTTTCTGCTACCTCACACGGTGGCACCTGCCTTTTTTAAGACCCTAACAGTGGCACATAGTGCTGGCTCTAGCCAAACCCACAGGGAGGGAGAGGTCTTGCTAGCCCTCACCAGCATCTTAGCAAGTCATTCACAGTGGTGTCCCACAACCTGTGTCACCCCCACTTCCAGCAAGCTGTTCTATGCCTTTCCTGTGTAATACCACAAATAAAGATAAAGATATTCCAAGTATTTGACTACTTTATGGTGTGTGTGTGTAAGAGAGAGGGGGGAGGGAGAGGTGATCTTGTGTATAAAGGCCAGAGTACACCCTAGCATCATTCCTCAGGAGCCACGCACCCTTCTTTTTTTTTTTTTTTTTTTAAGCAGGGTCTCTCTCATTGGCCTGGAATCTTGCCAATTAGGCTGGCTGGCAGGCCGGCAAACCCAGAGATCTGCCTGTCTTGGCATGTATGTGTCTCAGTGGGAACAAGCTGCAGTTTTCTGTATTTTGGAGGGTTTGATCTCCTGTCTGTATTGTATTTGTCATGTCTCAGTAAATATTTGGGGAATCACTCACATGCCAGAGTGAGGAGGCTGGGCACCTACCTCTCAAGGACATTCCCAAGGTCATTCATTAGTCCCAAAACAGCTTCCAACATCATTGTCAGCATTTCGAAGGCACACTCCCCAGAACATAGCTCAGCCATTGGTGGCTCTGAAATCTACCTAGGATGTGGCCTTGTTGAAGGAGCTGTTCCTTCATGCCACCATCATGGACTCTGTCCCTCTGACCCTCTGGAACTATGAGCCAGATTAAATGCTTCCTTTTATCTAGCGATGGTGTTTTCATAGCAATAGGAAAGTAGCTAACACGGTGTCCTTTGGGAGGATGGAATGAAAGGACTAGAGGTCCCATTGCAAAGCCACACAGGGACATAGAGCACATGTCCTCCCTGGCTTCAAATGTACCCTGATAATTGCCTGCCCCAACACCTCCTGCAGATAAACTTATGCCAGATGCAGGAGTGACAGGAAATGCTCTGTGTCCCTTGCGTGACCAAAGTCCAAGAACAAGGGCTAGATGGGGTGGAGGCAGCTTGGCAGGTTTGGGTCCGATGGTGACATTAAGTAGTCCTAGCATAGCCAGGCAGTGGTGGCGCACGCCTTTAATCCCAGCACTCGGGAGGCAGAGGCAGGCGGATCTCTGTGAGTTCGAGGCCAGGCTGGACCGACAGCCTCCAAAACAATACAGAGAAACCCTGTCTCGTAAAACCAAAAAAAAAAGTCCTAGCATTACAGTAATTCCCACTGAGGGACAGACCAGGCCACTCTCTAGTGGGACATGGTTGTCCTATTGCCTCATGATGACTCAGTCCTCATTCTACACCTGGGGGGGGGGCGCTGCACCCCTAGGGCTTTCATACCTCCCTTCTTCCAGGACGAGTTCTACCAGGGCTTATGGGCCAACAAATGCAGTCTTATAGGGAGCCCCCTATAAGACTGGAGGAACACTTGACATCCACGAGACACAGACAACTCCAGCCACCAGAGTGCAGTCTACGACCTCCACATCAATTGCATTCCCGCCCCCCCAGCTGCCCCGCCTCCCTTCTGTCCAAGGAGAGCAGGGTACAAAGGAGTGTTTGGCTGAGGACCAGGCCTGGCTCATTCTAGCTACCAGCACACAGTGGCCTCAGAGGCCCTTTGCAATCTCTAGTTCTCACCCAGGAGAGAAGCACACTTCCAGGGCTTCCTCTGAGGGGCGAGGCAGTGGGTTCCAGGTACGGTAAACTGAGTCACGCAGATCCACCTGCAGATATGTCGGTGGCCTGAGGGGGAGCCTGGGCCCGCAGACATCCAAGACAAGCATCAAAGGACTTTGGTGTGCCCGTGTGCCCTGCACACACTGCTGGAGCTGACTGTGAGGCCAGGAGAACCAGCGTAGGATGGACAAGGAGTTGCAGGCTGTGGAGGGTTGAAGAGCAGTAACACCAGCCAAGGGCGGGAATCACAGATAGGACGGGTCACCAGGACCACCCCGCCTCTGCCTGGAGCCAACGTACCTTCAAGAGGCACAAATGCCTGGAGAGGGGACCCCACGCCCAGCTAAGGCCTCTGGGTCCCTGGGTCTCAGGTCTGTGGTCATCTCTCCGGTGGTGGCTCTGCACAGTTGGGGACAACAAGGAACTAATGACACACTCAGTGCTATTACCTTCCCTCTCCCCTCTGTCTCCAGAGCTTCCGCACGTAGTAGGAACCAGGCCCTGACCTGAGACTGTTTCCTGTCAGTCACAAGCTCTTCCCACACTGGGGAGACAGGGCAGACATGACAGTTATGTTGGTCCCAGGACCTGAGGAAACGGGAGCTCGGGTGAGGCAGCAGACAAACTTCCCTGCCACCATGGCCGAGTTCGATTACTCACAGGCTGCAGGAAACATCTAGAGCTGTCCCTCTGTTGGGGGACACCGTGACACCTGAGTGAGATGTCCTACAGCAGGCTTCTAAGGCCCCTGATGGCAGCCCATGCTCTCAGCCCCTGGAGCTCTCACATTCGAGACAAGAAGGGTGCTTAGGGGCCATGTACTCAGACCCCTTCCACACCCTGCCACCATCCACAAGGGCAAGTCACCCAGTGAGGACTCACAGACCCGGTGGCTTCCTAAAGAAACTCAAGCCCTGTGGCCCCGTAAGTAGGACCCAGGTACCCGGCTCCCCACGGAGGGACCAAGGCTGATGCACAAACTCCCCAAGAAACGCTGCTCAAAACAAGGTGCTGGGGCTCAGTTCAAGACTTTGTGTCATTTCATTTCCCTGAAAGGACATCACCAGGGAGGTAGGGAGGTTAGGGAAGGGCAAACAGGCTGCTAAGCAGGTATTTGATGAATTAACTGTCCCTCACCCAGGCCATACAGGGCCAGCAAAGTTCTCCAGCCAAGACAGTGAAAGAGCCCGCTGCTCCTTTTACTTCTAAAACAACAGATCCAGGCAGCGCACTCAAGTGGAACTGTCATTCTGTCCCTGAGTGCCCTAGACTAGCTCCTGGACGTGAGGACATTCAAGGAGCCTGCAGCTAGGACTTAACAGAGAGGGCTGGGAAGACAGGCTCATGGGAATTCACCTGCCCACCCAGTACCTCAAGCACGAACTGCGGGAGCCATGTCATGTGACAACAGTTTCACTCTGAAGTGTCAAAGAATGACCCCAGGGTCCCTGAGTCACATGCTTCCCAGTTGGCCAAGAGACAACCCGTGGACAGGAAGTACAGCATCTGCCCTCCAGGGTGCTTCAGCCACTCCAGAGCAAGCAAACTCAACCGCCTTCGGCATTTAACAAGCTGTTGTGAAACTGAAGGCGGGGATGGGGGCGGGGCGGGGGCGGCGCCTCTGGGATCCACTTCAGCTGGAGGAAGCCTTGGCCATGACGGTCTATGACAGCTCACTGGCAGCACTGCCTCTCAGCTGGAAGATGCAGGCTTTGCGGGAAAGGCCACGCAGGCTGCAGCAGCCCAGCCAACCAAGACATAGGCTTTCAGCAGCATTAATTAGCATTAATTAGTCTGACGATGGGCTGGCCCCCACGCCTCATGGAACCCCAGTTCTTGCCTGCTTGCTCTCAACGAAATTTCTAAGAACACAGGCGCTATTGTCTCCCACATTTGCCTGTCAGCTTCTTACAGAGCAGCTACCGCACCACCCACAGGAAAACCACAAGGGGATTTTGACTTGGAATGGGAGGGGGGTGGGTGGAGGGGGCATCAGACCAGGTCAGGATCGACCTGTGGGTGTAGCCATGACTGCAATTCAAGCCACCCAGACAGCTTGGTAAAAGGCTCATCCAAATATCCTAGAACCTGTAAGGGCAAAACAGAACTTTAAAGAGAGCGACCCTGTAAGGGCAAAACAGAACTTTAAAGAGAGCAACTGTCATAGCTCAACGGCAGCCATGGCCACCCCTCCCACTCCCAGAGTCGAGGAATCTTCCTGGGGCTCAAATGAAGCTAAACACTCCTGATAACAAAGCTTTTCCTCAAATCCTTTTTAATAACACGTAGCCCGCCCAGCTTCACCCGGTATAAAAACAGCCCTTCCTGATTTCGTATAAATTAAATGTGGAGATTTGGCATGACAATGCATCGGGTGCAGGTATCAAACGGGAAATCACAGACGACAGTGCAGACTGCAGATGTAGTGACCAGGGATCGTGAGAGTCAAGCCCAATCCAAGGCGGGTCCCCAGACTGCAGGCTCCGTGATTGTCGCTGATACCCACGGGGCAGTACACAAGGCGGAACCAGGCTGGCTCTGCAGAGGGTTTCCGTACCACCTCCCGATACCCAGAGGTAGCTGGGTACCTTGGCCTGTATCCGCAGCTGGTGTTCATGTCCACCCACTCTATAAACAGTGTTCCGTGAAACCTCTGAGCCCGGTGCTCCCACGTGCCAGGAGACAGGAGGGAGACCTCAGCCATCAGGTGCAGCACCCAGATCTAGTCCGTGTGGGTGCTTTGCAACTGGCTATATCCACAATCTGGGATGGCTCCTCAGCCCTCTGCCGGGAGATCATGGGCACCACCAGGTCAAACAAAGTCTCAAACAGGAGGTCCACGTTGTACCCGGTTTTGGCGCTGGTCTCAAAGCACATCCGCTCGGCGGCTGGCATCTCCCTCTCGTCCAGCATCTTGTGCTTCAAGATCTTCTTGTAAAGGGCCATGGCATCCTCTGGCTGCACCTGCCTGGGTACCTTGGAGGAGACACAGCTGCCCGCCTTCCCAGAAGCCTCTCCTTCTTTCTCCCCGCCCTCTGTGGCCCGCTCCAAGGCCAGGTCCACTTTGTTCCCCACAATGGCAAACAAGCAGTCATTGTTGGCTGTTTCCGTCAGGCCCAGAAACCTGTCCTCCAGCTCCAGAAGACTCTGAGGGTGGTTCACATCATACGTCAGGATGACAGCGGCCGCCCCGCGGCAGTACATGGAGCCCAGGCCATGGAACTGCTCCCGCCCTGGCAGGAAGCAAACGGAGAAAGGCAGTTACTCAACTCAGGATGCACCCACCACAACACCGTGGGCAGGCTCCCCACACTGCCCCAAAGCAGGGAGCTGAGACACTAACAGCCAGATAAAGGTGCTCTACATTGATCAGTCAGGGCTCCATGCCCCACCAAAGCTGGCACAGGTGACCAGGCAAGGGCCTTGTGCCCTGCTAAAGCTGGGCTCTCCACACCAGACACCCCAGCAGTCCTCACACCATCTAACCACACGACATTGTGGTGATACCTTGCTTGTACAAATAAAGCCTGTCTGAAGGTCGGAGAATGGAGCTTGCCCCTAGCTAGCCATAGAGGTCTGGAGGTCTGTACAGACAGACAGGAAGTGAGGTAGCTGGGCAGAAACAGGATATAAGCAGGGAGAAAAACTGTTGTCTGCTGAGACGCTAAGGAGATGAGGTGTGGTGGTGGCTTGCTCCTTCTCTCTGATCTTTCAGCATTTCCCCCTATATCTATCTGACTTTAAAGCTAGATGCTTTGAGGACCTGAGTTCAAATCCCCACACTCATGTAAAAAGCTACACGTAGTCAGGCATGGTGGACACGCCTTAAACCCTCGGGAGCACTGGAGAGGCAGTGTAGGGTAGATCTCTGGGGGTTCCACGCTAGTATTGAGACCCTGTTTAAAAAAAAGCCAGGTCGGGTGGTGGTGGCACACGCCTTTAATCCCAGCACTCGGGAGGCAGAGGCAGGCGGATCTCTGTGAGTTCGAGGCCAGGCTGGACCGACAGCCTCCAAAACAATACAGAGAAACCCTGTCTCATAAAAACCAAAAAAAAAAAAAAAAAGCCAGACATGGCCACATACATACCCATAAACCTAGCTCTGAGGTAGGAGAAAGACAGGAGAACTGCTGTGGCTTGTAGCCAGCCACTAGCCTAGCTTCCGATTCAGTGAAAGACCCCATGTCAAAGGACTAAGACGGACAATGATAGAGGAGGACACCGTGTGAGCCTCTGTGTGAGCATGCGCTCACACACATTTACCACACGCACGCACGCACGCACGCAGCTTAAACACAAGGCTGCCAGGACATGAGAGATGCTTCATTGGCCAAGAGCACTGGCTACTCTTCCAGAGGACTTGGGTTCAATTCCCAGCACCACATGATGTTTCACAGCTATCTGTAACTCCAGTTCCTGGGGATCTGATGTCCTCTTTTGTCCTCTGCACAAGTGGTGCACAGGCATACATGCAGGCAGAGAACACCTACACACGTAAGATTAAAAACACAATACTGATGCCAGGTGTTGGTGGCGCATGCCTTTTATACCAGCACTTGGGAGGCAGAGGCAGGATGATCTCTGTGAGTTCAAGGCCAGCCTGGTCTACAGAGTGAGTTCCAGGACAGCCTCCAAAACAATACAGAGAAATCCTGTCTAGGAAAAACAAAAACACACACACACAATACTGACCACATGAGTCTTGGAGTGTGTGTGTGTGTGTGTGTGTGTGTGTGTGTGTGTGTGTCTGTGTCTGTGTCTGTATCTGTGTAACACTGAGAATGCTATGTAAGCCCCTGCCATTGAGCCACAGCCCCACCGTGGGTCTCTAACAGTAATAGTCTGTGTCACACTCTGAGATGTCACCAGTCATCTGATTCGTAGGGAACTCGACGGTTTGTACGTGTGTGGGTGAGGATCCCAGCCACCCACAGCTCAGGAGTGTTCTCACAACTGCAGGGTATCTGCTGTGACATGGGGACACAGGAAGCAGTTATGCAAGGGCAGGGAAAGCCACAGCACGACACTCCCACTGTCACAAAAACCAGCAGTGAGCTGCAGACGTGTTCCTGAGGACGTCTGTCAAACAGGACGTTTCCATCCTGCAGGAAGCAGTTGCAAACACCACCACAGAAGCCACATCGGTTATTCCACCTGCGGAAGGATCTGGCTACTGTATGGTTTGTGCATGGCTATTCCACCTGTGGACGGATCTCGATACTGTGTGGTTTATGCTATCGACTTGACAGAATCTAGAATCACCTAGGAGATGGACCTCTGGGCATGCCTGCATACATGAATATGTTAATGGAGATGAGAAAACCCACTGTGGTGGGGCCACTCCCTGGCTGGGCTCCTGGACTGTGTAAACAGGAGAGGAAGCTGTCCCTGACCAACCACAAGCCCTGCTTCCATGACCCCCACCAAGACAGACCGCACCTTGAGCTGTGAGCTGAGGTAACCCGGCCTCCCTTGAGCTGCTCGTGTCAGCATTTTATCGCACAGGAAGACACACATTTGCCGGTAAAAACTCATTCCAACTGTACCACTGTCTCTTGTTTGGTTGTTGTTTTCAGATAGGGTCTTACCTTGTATCTGTCATCCCCATGCTTGCCTGGAATTGCTTTGCAGACCAGACTGCCTTTGAACTCACAGAGACCCAGCTGCCTCTGCTTCCCAATACTGCTTCACCAAGGTTAATCATAACCTTTAAACAAGGCGGTGTAGCTGGCAGCTTTGTCTGTAGCTGATGAATTTTAACCTGTTATCTGAGGAAGGGTTGGGCTTATCCCACTGAAGTGCTGAAGGATTCTTAGACCCCAGTTTGGGTCGAGGGTTCTATGGAATACCAAATGAAGGTGTCCTGGGCCAGCTTCCCACCACTACACCCACAGATGGCAACAAACTCCACCCCATCTTCAATCGTTCTGAAACGGTCGCATTCTGAGGCAGAGTATTTCCGCCCAGTCAAACAATGCTACCCTTTGAATGTGTGGCTTTTGTCCCACTACAGAGTCTACAACACTGACAAGACAAACCTTTGCCTACAAAAGAGAAATGCTCCCCCTAACTAACACACACATGCATACACACCAGGCATCCCTCAGCACAACCTTCCCGGATCATGAGGTTTCCTACAGAGAAAATGTTATCTGCTCCGTCACCCAGATTTCACAAGAGCATGACCACAAGGGCACAGAGTGGGGACATTCCACCAGCCCTGAGAGCATTTTTTCAAGTCTCTGTGACACAGTTCACTAAGGACAAAGAAAGAACTGTATTAACACCCACGCTCCAAATAGCTTTCTGTCCCAGATAAACTGTCTGATTTAAAACTTGGTGTGTTGGCACATGCCTACAATCCCAGCACTCAGAAGGCCGGAACAGGTGGTTTGCGAGTTGCAGGCTAACCTGGGCTCCGCAGAAAGACTATGTAGGATTTGGCTTTTGAAAAGTAATTAGTAATTACACGAAAACAAAGATCATAAACACTGAAGGAAATAGGAGACGTGAAACTAGAAACGCCGAATGAAACAGAGCAAATACCAATGGATGGTGCTTGTCATATTATGGCCAGCCATTAATCAGATGCAGAACCTACAACAGCTGGAGAACTTCCCAGCTAATCTTCATGCTCAACCCTGCAGCTCAGTTGGGCAGTGGTGGTGCGTACCACTCAGCACTCAGGAGGCAGAGGCAGGTGGATCTCTGTGAGTGAGACCAGCCTGGTCTACAAAGCCCAGGACAGCCAGGGCTACACAGAGAAATCCTGTCTTGAAAAAAAAAAACAATCTGTAGGTCTTCAAGTCGCTAACCGGATGCGCAGGCTGCAGGAATATGGGCACGTCTGTAACAAGACGGTCCCTGCTGAAGGTAGCAGGGACCATGGAGGGAAGGATCCAGGCATTGAAGAGACAGAAAAACTGGATGTCAAGAGGACTTTCCTCCTGTGCTGACTTTCCCAAACTCACTGTCTTCATATGTAACATTGTATGTGTCATAGAACTTGGACACAAGTCAGGCAGGTTTGAGCGGGTCCTGAGACCCTCCCCTAGTACACATGGGCATCCCATCCTCCTCCAGCCCTCCCTCCTTCCCACACTGGGTTCCTGAGTGCGTGGCTTCCCTGAGAACTAATTACTTAACACCAACTACAGGCAGTGTGTTACGGCTCCTCCCAGAACTCTGGCTTTGGCCGTCAGCATGACCTCCTGGGAGTTCCAAAACGTACACAGAAAGTCCCCGGGAGTCTGGCAAGCCTCTTACTGTAAGTTTCCCGTTGTTAAATACAGTAGCACCTGTGCAGGGTGGTTGAGAAAACAAGAATGAATTCGCCCTTGTGAACAACTTAGCACTGTGACTAGGGTGTGGTCAACAAATCATGAGTCTGGTCCTTCCCACTCACCCTCAACGAGTGCACACTCAGATCCAGTGCACACTCAGTCCACTCACCCTCATCAGGTGCACACTCAATCCAGTGCACACTCAGATCGAGTGCACACTCAGTCCACTCACCCTCATCAAGTGCACACTCAGATCCAGTGCACACTCAGATCCAGTGCACACGTCCACTCACCCTCATCAGGTGCACACTCAGTCCACTCACCCTCAACGAGTGCACACTCAGATCCAGTGCACACTCAGTCCACTCACCCTCAAGGAGTGCACACTCAGATCCAGTGCACACTCAGTCCACTCACCCTCAACGAGTGCACACTCAGATCCAGTGCACACTCAGTCCACTCACCCTCATCAGGTGCACACTCAGATCCAGTGCACACTCAGATCCAGTGCACACATCCACTCACCCTCAAGGAGTGCACACTCAGATCAAATGCACACTCAGTCCACTCACCCTCATCAAGTGCACACTCAGATCCAGTGCACACTCAGTCCACTCACCCTCAACGAGTGCACACACAGTCCTGCTCTCGTCTCTCCAGCTACACATCTGCAAGCGGTCTCCCAGGTTTGCTGGTCACATGGGCAGCTGACCTATGCCCTGCCGGCTCCCTAATTCTTGAGACTGACCTTCTCCCTAATACTGGAGATTCACCGCCTGTTACACGCTGGTTAAAATGGCCCAGAGGCAAACCTGGGGGAAATGGAAGTCAATGGCCTGCAGTAACCCGGCCCAGCTGCCAGGGCTCTGAAAGCAGCCCAGTCACTTGCTACTACATTCTCCAGTCTCCCCAAAGGCAAACAGCCTGTGAGTCCGAATGTCTATGGTTTT